GAATAATTATAAGATATAGCATCCAGAAAGAATCGCTGTTTTAGCTATTAATTTTATCATGTCTAAATGTAGTAATATACTGTATGTAGTAATAGAAATGCATTAAAAAATAATAAAAATATTAAATAATCATATTTGTTTGTTTATTTATGGGCAAAAGTATTTTTTTTTAATTATCATAATTTCAATATTTATAGTTAACAATTATATTTTATTGAGACGCAACTTTATATATTTTTAGAATTAATTTTGTAATTATAAAAAATAAATCTTAATTCAATTAATAAATATCTCAATTAAAAATTATTGTATACATATTATCGCACAATTCTACAATATTTTAGGCTAATCCATGTCTTGTAATAAATAATTCAAAACTATTTATAATTACAATAAGAATATAATTTATTAATAAATTTGTAAACATTTAATTTATAAACATTAGAATCTAATGATAAGATAATATAATTGTTAAATAATTTTTAGTCACAAAATTGTATTTGTTAAAAAAATTAAATAAAAAATCATTTTACTGTAGTTAGTTACTAATTTTACAGTGTAGTACGATATAAAATTTTAGGATGAATGTCAAATATCTGGTTTTATTTTATTAGTTAAATATTTACATAATTAATTAATTACTAATTAATAAACACATATTATAAAGATATGTTAAACAAACACATAAAAGAAATGACTAAAAAATGTTCACAAAAGGCTATTAGACATTGAAAAAATATTAAACATTTACAGAATTTTTACGGTAATAATATTTAGGGACTAAATAACAGTTTTCAATGGCTTTAATACACTTCAGTTTAGAAGTTGTAGACAATAGATATTCATAATCAGTATCCTTTAGATGAGTGTCAGGATTGTGTTCAATGACAAGCGTTTGCAGCGCCGGTAGTCTTGAGATGTGAGACAAACACTCGGTGTCTATAATGTTATTAAAGTCATGAATGAATAGATAGTGAAGTCGTGGACAGTATTGATGCAAATCTGTCATCACTTTTGGTGTCATTTTCTTTAACTTCAACCCTAATTGCTTTAATCTCTTGCAGTGTCTCAACGGTTCCAACAACTGGTCATCGATGGCCGCATTGATCTCTAAACGCAACCATTTTAAACGGCGAAAAACTATCAATGAATCCAATGATAAAACATGAAGAGAGGGTGGGATAGAAAATGCGGACAAATTAAGTGATAATCGTTTAAATTGTTTGCAATTCCTGCCAATTATGCGCAAAAAGTCGGTCACCACCGCTGGGTTCTGGCCGTTTGACCGCAGCGTTAACTCAAGTGTCAATTGCCGTAATTGTGTTAATCGTGACAATTGGCCGCACATTTCGCGCACCGATTCTTCATCTCTAAAATAACAGGACTTTACGGCCAGACTCTCGATGGACTGATTCGCGGCCACGAATAGAGGCCATCGGCGGTCGTCGTCATACGATTGCGATATTAACTCAAATTTACGTATATTTTTAACAAAAAATGTGTCGTAAAGTATGTCAAAGATCTTATCAAACGAATGGATCCGCAATTGTGACAATCGGTGGCAATGAGTGACCGCTTTGCTGTATTTATACGAGTTTATGGCATCTATTCGTGTGACCAGTGGTCCAAATGTGGCCATCATTTGACGGCTATTCGCATCCAAGTTGCAGTAAATGTCCCGTAAATGACGGCAATACTGTCTCAATATACCCAACACTTCGGGAACGCGTTTCTCGTAGTCTTTGGTTATTCCTCGACAGTCTATGGTCTGAATATTAGGACACTTTATGGCAATTATGGCCAACATTTCGGTATCACTTCTTTTCTCAATAAGTAATCGCTGTATAAATCGGTCGCTAAGAGTGATGTTCACAACACTCTCGAAGACTGTCCTCTGGAACTGTTTGGACACACATTCGCATTGAAACCGGTCTTCGAGTGAGAGATTAGACAATAAAAGTTGACACAAATCATCACCGAATCTGTCCATTGAGTTCTTGGCGTAAATCTGCGGCTAAAATGAGCCAAAAATACAATTAATTCAATAAACATTAAATTGTTTATGAAATACCTGTCGATTGTCTTCGTCCACATCTTCGCCGTCATCTGTGGTCTCGAGTGATGTCTTCAAGTGTTTCACTTCATGTGCCATATCTTGGGATCAAATGAAGTGATGGATAAATATTTGTGTTTTTGTTATGAAATGCCAAAACATGTGTTAACTCATTGTGTTTACAATTGATATGTATTTCTGTGTAAATATTTGGTACTATTTGTTACAAAACCTAATGATATATAGCTATAGAATGGGACCAATACTGCGGCCAATACTATACAGTATAGTCATAGAGAAAACACAACATAAAGTATAACTTTTTTTTGTGTAAAACTTTTTGCCCAAACATTAAACAAGTGTTCAAACATTTAATTAAATTTTATATTAATATGATTTATATTATATTAATTAAATAATGAGATAAAATGCTTACTTAATATAGAAATATAAAAATATTTTTATTAAACATAATTATAAACAATACAGAAAACAATTTAATATAGGGTACAGTAACAAGGTTTTAGACATAATTAAATAAATAAATAAAATTATAAATTAGACATAACATAATTAAAATTGTTTTAATTAATAATTTAATTAATATCGAAACCTACAAAATAAATGCCAGTAAAAGTGTTATACTTATCGCACTACTTGTTGTATTAGCCCTACTATGCCATACAGAGTCGGCCAGTGGTCAGACCGTTGAGCCAATCTGTATTTTGGGCCAATCCATGTTTTTTTAATAAATAATACAAAACTATTTATAAAATCATTTTAGTATAAAATTTTAAAATAAATGGCAAATATCTGATTTTATTTCATTGATTAAATCATTACAATAATTACTAATTAATAAAAACATATTATAAAAAGTAAGTTAAATAAATAAATAGAAGAAATGACTAAAAAATGTTCACAAAATGCAATTAGACATTGAAATACCAAAAAATATTAATCATTTTAAACAGAATTTTTCCGGTAATAATATGTTGGGACTAAATCACAGTTTTCAATGGCTTTAATAGTCTTCAGTTTTGGAGTTTTGGACATTAGATCTTCAAAATCACTATTTCTCAGACCATTGTCTGCATTGCATTCAATGACAAGCGTTTGCAGCGCCGGTAGTCTTGAGATGTGAGACAAACACTCGGTGTCTATAATGTTATTAAAGTCATGAATGAATAGATAGTGAAGTCGTGGACAGTATTGATGCAAATCTGTCATCACTTTTGGTGTCATTTTGTTTAACTTCAATCCCAATTGCGTTAATCTCTTGCAGTGTCTCAACGGTTCCAACAACTGGTCATCGATGGCCGCGTAGACCTCTAAACGCAACCATTTTAGACGGCGAAAAACACTTAATGAATCCAATGATAATACTTGAACAGTGGTTGCGCACAAATTAAGTGCCAATCGTTTCAATTGTTTGCAATTCACGCCAATTGTGCGCAAAGAGTCGGACACCACCGCTGGGTTGACCGCCACCATCGACCGCAGCGGCAGCCCGAGTGTCAGTTCCCGTAATTGCGTTAATCGTGACAATTGTCCGCACATTTCGCGCACCGACTCTTCATCTCTAAACGTACGCGAAGTTACGGTCAGACTCTCGATGGACTGATTCGCGGCCACGAATGAAGGCCATCGGCGGTTGTGGTAATACGAATGCGATATTAACTCAAATTTGCGTATATTTTTGACACGCGATCTGTCGTTACGTATGTCAAAGATGTCATTAAACGAATGGATCCGCAATTGTGACAATCGGTGGCAATAATTGAACGCTTTGCTGCCGTTAAAGCAGATTATGGCATCGATTTGTGTGACCAGTGGTCCAAATGTGGCCAACATTTCATAACTCCAATCGCAGTAAATGTCTCGTAAACGACGGCAATAGTCTCTCAATAAACCCAACACTTCGGGAACGCGTTTCTCGTAGTCTTTGGTTATTCCTCGACAGTCTATGGTCTGAATATTCGAACACTTTATGGCAAATGTGGCCAACATTTCGGTATCACTTCTTTTCTCATTAAGTAATCGCTGTATAAATCGGTCGCTAAGAGTGATGTCCACAACACTCACGAAGACTGTCCTCTGAAACTGTTTGGACACACATTCGCATTGAAACCTGTCTTCGAGTGATAGATAAGACAATAATAGTTGAGACAAATCATCACCGAATCTGTCCATTGAGTTCTTCGCGTAAATCTGCGGCTAAAATGAGCCAAAAATACAATTAATTGAATAAACATTAAATTGTTTATGAAATACCTGTCGATTGTCTTCGTCTACATCTTCGCCGTCATCTGTGGTCTCGAGTTCTGTCTTCAAGTGTTTTACTTCTTGAGCCATATCTTGGGATCAGATGAAGTGATTGATAAATAATAGTGTTTTTGTTATGAAATGCCAAAACATGTGTTAACTCTTTGTGTTTACAATTGATATGTATTTCTGTGTAAATATTTGGTACTATTTGTTACAAAACCTAATGATATATAGCTATACAATGGGATTAATACTACGGCTAATACTATACAATATAGTCATTGAGAAAACACTACATAAAGTATAACTTTGTTTGTGTAAAACTTTTTGCCCAAACATTCAACAAGTGTTCAAACATTTAATTAAATCTTATATTAATATGATTTATATTATAATAATTAAACAATTAGATTAAATGCTTACTTAATAGTATAGAAATATAATAATATTTTTATTAAACATAATTATAAACAATTAAATATAGGAAATAATTTAAAATTGATGCAATAGGGTACATTAACAAGTTTTTAGACATAATTAACAGTAATTAAATAAATAATTAAATTAGACATAACATAATTAAAATAGACTAATTAAAATTGTTTTACAGTTAATTAATAATTTAACTAATATTGAAACCTACAAAATGAATGCCAGTAAAAGTGTAACATTTATTGTACTATTGGTTGTATTAGCCCTACTATGCCGTACAGAGTCGGCCAGTGGTCAGTCTGTTGAGCTCCAGAGGGCTAAACGTGGCTTTGGTTGTAATGGAAGGTTTAGCCGCCGAACAAATAGATATGAGTGCAATAGCCACTGCAAAAGTAACAGGGTAATTATTTTTAAATCATTTTTGTTTGCAAATTGTTTATAACTATTAATTTTAATCATTATAGTTTAGAGGTGGTTATTGTGACATGTTTGGATACCGTTGCAAATGTTATGGCCGTTAAACATACATTACATTTACAATTACTGTAATTGTACTGTATATTGTAGTAATGATCCAAATGCGACAATTTAAATATATTTTTTTAATATAATAATTATTTATTATTACTGTATAACAATTTATTATAATTATAATAGTGTTGTTTTAAATATAAGTAAAGGTAGTAATTCTGATATGCACATGTATAATTATTAAACATTTTAAATATTCAATTGGATCTTTATAAACGATATTATTTTTTACAATAAATTTGTAATTATTTCAAAATCAACTAGTTTATTTAAATATATAACATTGTTAATAATTAAAATTAAGTTATAAAGACAACTAATTATTTAACCAGATGTTTTTAACCACAATTCAGAATGAAGAATGTGGTTTATAGGATCGTTCGGCTACCCCTCCCCCCC